CTATAGGTTGGCAAGAGAGAGAATGAAAGAGAAAGAGGCGTAACACGACACTTGCGCTCTATGGCTTAACTTTCATAATACCAGAGGGTTATATGCCACTACTGTTTATATATAGTAAGATAGAGAGAGAGGGAGAGAGAGAGAGAGAGAGAAGTGATACGGCAGATACCGACTTGGGATAATTTGCATATCGTCGTGTTGCGGTGTTAGCTTCGTTTTTTTCCTTCCGCTTCTTTTTACTATAGCTCTGGTTATATATACTTGTAATTTTAAAGACTGGTGTACGTTTTTACGCCTTTGCAGAACTATATAGGAAGACCGTCTGGCTCTTTTTTATATACATGCATGTGCTCGCCCGCCCGCCACCCTCGCAAGTTTGGCTCGTTATATTTACGCGCCGCTGCTTCGTTACGTCGAGAGGATTCTTCAGAGAATTTGCCTGTGCGAGAAAAGATGCGCGTGCGTGCGATCTTCTTCTCTCCTCTCGTCGATCTCTTTCTTTCTTTCTTCGTCCCTCTGTTAAATACGCAATTTCACGTACAATTTTTTTCACCTAAACGAATATAAAGGTACTCAAATTAAGAGACCTTCAAATTTTCGATGAATATTCTTTTTTATTAAAAATTTTCTGTTAAATTCACCGAGCTTATCCTCTCAAAAAAAAACGTTGTTTGGTCTGCCGTATCATCCATTAGTTTTGAAAGCTATGATCAAATTACACAGAAAATATACATATAACGGGCGCGTGCGTCGATACCAATATATATGAATATATATATCCCTCCCCTCAACACGTTTATATATTTTCGTATTTTTTTTTTTTTTTTTCAAATTCTCTTTACTCGCGTGCACGCATATTGAAAAGCTACTGGCTGAACTTTTGAAGCTCAAAATTCTTTTTCATTTCGCAGAGCGATGCAACCCTTTGTTCTCGGACTGAAACGCAACGCTAATATATAGCCAACCTAACGCGCGTCGGCGAAAGAGAGAGTCGAATCAGTCGATTCGTCATTGAAAATAATTCCAAATACTCGGGGGGTGCGCGCGCGCGCGTATATATTATATTATACGGCTATGGGTAGAAGCTCGCGTGTCCGGGTTATTATATACATATACGGCATATATACATACGATATGCCGCGTGTGCAGGTCAAATATGCGGGTAATCCGTACGCGGGCGCGCACGGCTACGGTCCATACCGTAACAGTATTAGCATCATTCGAATTTCCAATTCGTACCACGTAGATTCGTATCTTCAACAGTACAGTAGTGCGCGCGGTGGGAGGTGTATTCGTACGAGTACTCTGCCGCGTAACATATTGGCGAACCCGTGCGCATGTAAATTTCTATATGGGCCCGCCCGCTCGTACGTGTGTATGCGTTCAGTAGCAGCAGCAGCAGCAGCGAATCGTGCCTCGCCAGCTTACGATTACATTTATACGTGTGTACGTAATGTCCTTTCATGCGCGGTATGCATATTATAACTTTCAATCAAATCTCTGGAACAAATATGAATTAATTCGGACTCTTTGTGTCAGCGCACGTTCGTACGTTCAGTGCGCGCGTCGATGCAACTGCTGCGGGGTTTTGATGGAAAAAAAATTCTAAACTCATCATCTCGTGATCTCGCATCGAAAAATATTAATGCTGACCAGCTGTAGCGTCTTTAAAAATTTTTTTTTTTTAAATATAAGGCAACTTCTGCTTCATTGAAGTTCTTTGAGCACAAGTTTCTCAAAGTTAGGGTTGTTAATATCATTACAAATTCTCCCTCTCTCCCCTCTCTTTCTATGTTTGGTTTGATGTGCTCCTTTTTTTCTACGCTCGTCATCTTAACATCTTATTCCATAATAGCTCGAGTTAACTTTTTCAGCTGCGGAACCAGCAGCTGTATAGTGGCGTCGCCAACGTTGCCCTCTGATTATAGTCCCTCTCTGCCGAACTTTTCCAACGTCAAAGTATTATCGGCTCTGCACTATATAGTTCATGTATTAAACATACTTTGGCCACTGCAGGCTACCCTCTCTATCTCTCTATGTATATAGATAGATAGACAGATATATACATCTCTCTCTGTATGTATGTATAAGTACGCAAGCGTGTGCCCGTAGGGATTAAAGCAGAGTGAGAATTATCAGAAAGAATGTTATATATGAGAGTTGGAAACATTTTTATTGAATAGCACCAATACTGTAGCTGTTCTACTGCTCTCCGTCTCTCTCTCTCTCTCCCTCCCTCCCTAGGCTTATTAATGTATCGGCGCTGCAGCACGTGAACTTTATCTGTCCTTTTTGTACTTTCCCCTAAGGCTCGAGAGCTTAATGAGAGTTACGATAAAAGTTAGCGCGCGCGTGCCTACAGTAGGAGGTGCGTAAGCGAGTAGGAAGACGAAATAATTAGGTGGACCAAAAAAAAGAAGGAGAACGTAATTTCGTGATTCAGTTTGAATTTATACGTAACGTACGGCGACCATGTTGGGTTGATCCGTTTTTTCTTCTCTTTTTTTTTTTGCACAAAAGTTCTTTTCTGGATCGGTCATAATTTAAAGAACCTAAACAAATTCAATCGGTAATCGATCCAGCAAGAATGTGTACTGCAGCAACATAACCTGCCTCTTTCCTTCGGCCCTTAGAACTTTTCTCATCAATACGTTACCAAAGCATACCATCTCATCTGGCATCGCTGTACTGCGGCGAAAGAATTCACATCAAAAGAAAACCTACATCTTGATTCGAAATACCTCGGAGCTAGCTCTTGCTCCAGGAAAAAAAGAAGGAGATTCGATGCCAAGCGCGCAGGGCTCAAAGACAACCGCAACAGTTGCAAAAGACGAAATGATCGAAGTTTCCTTGAAGCGCTGATTACAAGCGATACTCTCGATAAAAAATAAAAAAAGTCTCCACACAAAGATGAAAGAAGGACGAACCTAAAATAATAAAAAAATTTGGGAAACCTCACGCATTCGAATTAGAACGTATAATTGTTACACGAATTCGCAAAAATCGCGACTAATTTGCACTGAAATTGTTGTCTTCCGTCACAATTAGAAGCCGGGCGCACACGCGCATCTACATATTTAATTAACTCCACACTTTCGAGTCGAGCGCAAGATACACACTCGACTACATGTGCGCATGACGCATAAAGCACGATACATTACGTGTGCACGTAGAATGTCTTCGGCCTCACGCACTCACATTATTGTGTATATAATTGCACACATGCCTTCATCACCTTTGCGTGAATTATGCCATGCTGCTCGCGCGCGCGCGCGCAGGGTTGACGACGAGACGTGCGAGCCACGCATGGAATTAGCGCGTATAGCGCGCGCACACACACACACTCGGCGCGCGAGAGAGTAAAATCGGATGCGAGCGGAATGCGCCTCTTACTTCGCAAGTGTAAATAGCCTTCGAGCTACCTCGCGACGATCGTAAAATATAGGTACAGAATAAATGTTACGCGAATCCTGATACTCGACGCAACCACGAACTACTCTTTCCGATATTGAATGCTCATTCGGAATTTCGTGCGCGCACTTCTGCGTGAAAAACCTTCGTAAAAAAGCGAGCATGAATTATCCTTTATAAACAGTTATAATAAAGCCGACGCACACGTACCCACGGTTTAATAATAATGAATATGCATGAGGCTGCGAGTGCGCATGGTTGTGCGCGTGTGTGTATAGAGCTAGTCAAGGAATGTTGTTGTAAGGAATTTTGAGATTGCTTTTCGACTATGTCTATTCTGCACCCGCGCGCAGCCTGATGCCGTCGCTGCTGCTCCTGCATTATGATTTGCTGAGCGAAAAAGGTCCACTCAAAGCAATACGCAAGCCTCAAAACATATCTATAGCACACAACAGGTTCTCCTCGACTCTCGAGTATTCGAAATATTTTTTAATAACTTGGATCATCTTGTTTACATTTTGATACTTCGTGGAAAATTTATATTTGCAGTAAATTAAACGGAAAAATAACAGGGAGAAAATTTTGAGGCATTGAAGTGTTCTTAACAAGGGGTCTAGCTGTCATCCGTCTCTGAGGTCTTATTCCTTGCCAAATATCACACGTGACAGTAAAATGGAGGAGTAAAAAACTGCCAACTTTGCACTGTTAAAAATCTCTTCTTGTCGAATAAGTCAGATCGAAGAATTTACATGTAAGAAAATGTTTTTTTGGACACAAAGTTAATGAAGCAGGGACGAACTGTATCAAGACAAAGATAAATTTCAAGTTGAAATTTGCCAAGATAATGGAAGGCACACTCGTTGCTGCAGAAATAAAAACATAAAGTCAAAGAGAAAGATGAGAATAATCGTTTAGCACACAATACTCGTAATACGCACTCTCCCAACACGAAATGGATTCAAATATCATCATCAACCTCCCTCCACTCTCTCTCTCTCTCTCTCTCTCTCTCGCTCCTTCTCTCCCTTTCTTTCTTCTCTCTTTCTCTTTCGTTCTCTCTCCAATTTACCCGTATCCACGAGTTTCAAGTCAATAGAAGTCGTTCAAATCTTGACTCTAAAACTTTTTGCTTGCGCTTCGAAAAGTGTGTTTACTCTTCGCTCTCCTCTCTTTTCTCTCTTACAAGATGTAACGAAGAAATATATATATATATATATACAAAATCAATTTCTCGTCGCCTTTTTTATTATACCTCAGCGAACGAGTACATTCATTTTACTTCATGGTTCCCTTGATCATCGCCTATCATCAGCGGAAGTCTCGATTTATTCGCAAGGAATCGGAAGCTGCGCGATACGCGCGTGCAAGCGCAAGTCAATATCGGAAAAAGACGATTTCCTTAATGAGCCGAGTTGAGAAACTACGCAGGGGTGGCGTTCTGAGGCTTCCCCGTCGATATGATTAAAGAGTTGATGTACTTGTGTATTATAAATTGACAAGATGCTATATCTGTGGGCGTAATAATAACAATATCAATAATAGTTGTAATTATAGTAGTGATAATAATTTTCTCCCCTCTCTGCTTGCAGGAAACGGAAATTTAGATCTGTTCGATAGCGAAAGCGGCCCCGATCTCACGCTGTCGCCTCAAACTTTTACCTCGACGGCGGAAGCCTTCATTAATGACAATAGCGACAGCCTTGGCGTGCCTGGCGACAACGACACTGGTGAGTTGCAGTTTTTCCTTTCATTTTTTTTGTTTTTAAATACACATTTTCATTGTTTCAAATATAAATAAAAACTTTATCGTCCCGTAGCCAAACTACTATGTTGAAAAACCTTATATTTAATGCAGAATTAATACAAAATCAGATATAAAAATTAAAGTATATGTTGTAAAGTACATGTTCTTATTAATTTTACCTAAATAGCTCTGAAAGAAATGTTTAGCTAAAAATGTCTGAAAATAATGCCACGCTATATTATATTATAGTATTATTGACAATTGATTATTGTGTAACTTCTTATCATATGATAACTTCATAGCTCCGTGAAAAAATCGTATTACTAGCACGTTGCTCTTATTCCGAAATAAGGGTCACAACTATATAATAAAAGGGGAGGGGGGCAGTTAACTAGTTTCTGCCACTAGATGGCGAACTCCTTGAACTTTAAATCTGCAAGTAGAAAAATTAAAAATGCTTGTATAAACACTGAAAAATGCTTGCAAAAACTGAAAATCGATCAATAATTGAAATGTAGTCCATGTATGCAAGTTGTACCTAGGTTACACCAGTGCTGTATATACACATAAAAAGCACGAAGCATTATAAAGTTAAAGTTGTGCTTGCGCGCGAGAAATTTTGCAGCAGCGCCACCCATGACAAATGCCTCCCGGGCGCAGCAACCGCGGCGACGACGACTACCACTACGACTATGACTACGTCGACGATGCAGAACTAAAAGCGCGTACCTCGTAAATTTTACCAACCATACTTCTTACCCCTGCCTCGCTCACGACCCACCTCTGCGGACTGCGCACGTATACGTGTGCATCAGGATTGTTCGCTCGATTTGAACGTTACAAGAGTGCATGTACGCCGCGTTTTGTGTCAGCGGCCGAATTTATTGAACGAAGCGGAGAGATAGAGACGAGAGAGAGAGAAAGAGAGAGAAAGAAGCTCTAGCTCGCGGCGAATGCGTCTATATATGCTACACACACAGCGTTGAGAATGGCTAACTTTAAGTTAGTTTGTTATAATTTGCTTCGGGGCTTGTATGAGTCCCACGCTATGCGCAGGAAGAAAGGAGAGAGAGAAACTATGAATAAATTTTGATGGGCCGATTTGCATATCATCTATGTATACTTTGGTGTATGTGTCTGTACGTGTGTAAATGGACGGATATAGACTGCGGAGATGAAGCATCGAGTGTACACAGAATAATTTTTAACCAAAATATTAAAGCTTGCAGTTTTATGTTGCAGGAAATTGATATTGATACAAGTGATAGTGGTTCGCGTATTACGGAAAATAATTTTATTAAGACTGCTTCGGATATAGCAGAGCTGCTCGAATATTGTTTTTTATGATTAAATTTTTATGATTTAATTTAGATAATTTTATTTATTGGGGTTTTCAATGCGCAACTATAAAAAAAGATAAATTATATAATGTTATACTCTAAGATTGATTGGTTAAACTTTTCAGCCACGATTTCAGTAACTCATGCTAATCGCTAACTTTCGAACCATGTATTCTGACTTTCCTTTAAGCGCATTTTATGATTAATTGAAATAATTATGAACTTCTTGATAAAAACAAGCTATACAATCGAATCTCTATTTTCCCTCACTTCTTTAAGACGCATACAATAATCGTATTTTAAGAACAATTCGTAATTTTAAAAGTAAAACATTTACGTACATGCGCAATATCGTTGCATAATAATATTGTTCCAGTTCTATTTTCTTTTTTATCGTCCATGAATATCGATCTGATAATTTCCTACGGAATAAATGCTCATCTTTTTCAAACTCTCTTATATATTCTGGCATGGGTAATATCAATCATGCCGTGCTAGAGATAAAGCATATATGCACTGTATAGAGAAAGTACCCGTATAAAATCAAGCCCTATCGCCAATAATGATGTGCGTGTACAAATACCTATACGCACGTTTACGTTAGAGACTTCCCGTGTGTATTCATAATTAAGGATCTATTTCTTTTATTAGTGAAACGCATATGCGATTTTACGCCCAAAATGTCGCAGTGTAACTCTCGCGTGTACTTTGAAATTTTGCTCATACATGTCACTGCCTGCAGCGACTCGACGAGGGGTTGAACTGCTTCTGTTGCAACATCGGCAAAGATGTTGCTGCCGCCGACGACGACGTCTTGCTCGTGCAATCCGTTACTCCTACTGTAACATAGTTCTGTATGTTCTATATACGTCTTTACACTTTGAAAGAAAGAGAGAGAGAGAGAGAGAGAGATAGTGAACTTGACGAGGTATAAGAGACTTATGCGTTGCGTTACTCTCTATCTCTCTCTTTTCCCTCGTCAAGACACTAAATGTACATGTGGAGCTCGACGATCGTTACCACAACGATGGCGCAAAGAATGACGAAGATAGAGTATTGCCGCAGCTGAGTCGACCTATACAAATGATGCTGCGCTCGTACGACGCCGTAATTATTTTACTGAAAAGTTGTAGAATCGAGCCTTCTTTTTTTTTTATTCTCAACATCATCAACTTTCGCACCCACTTTACACCTTCAGAAACTGTAAAAAAAGCCCTGCCTATGTATAAATTTATACAAGGAAAAATGCTGCACGTGTGTGCGTGTGACATGAATTACGTACTTTCCATCGGAGCGATTTTTCTTTTCTACTTATCCACTCGATATTACTGCCGCTACTCTCTTCTTTTTTTCCATTTTCAATAAATCCGCTTTTATAACGGCAGGAGCAGCAGCGCGACTCGCTCGCTGCTGTATATGTATATGTGCGCGCACGGGGACGATTTATTGACGAACACTTCCCGGCTATATTTTCGACCACCGACGCCACGTGTGGTAAAAGCAAAAAAAGAAAAAAAAGCGAACCATCGCCCCCGAATAGTATATCGTAAAGTGTCGTAAAAAATAAAACGAACAACGACAGCGCGTGAGACCCAACTGATGTATTCTCTCAAGCAGGTACACGCAGCCGATGCAGCAGTGTTCGCCATTTGTTTCGCGCTGGCAACTAAACTTTTGGCCCTGTTTTTTCTCTAAACTCTACTTTACTGTACTAGATGTTTGAACTCAATTTGAATACTGCAACATCGAAATCAAACGAGTACGTACGCATAAGCTTCGAGATATTATTTTCGCATTAGTTTGTGTGTTGTGTAGCCGGTGTAAAAATAATGACTCCCGTATGAGCTTGCGCAATAACTTCTTTGTGCATTTCTTTTGTCCCTAGTATTTATAATTGAAAGATCTCGGAAAAAAGTCCAGAGACTCGGACGTGTTGCGTCTGTATCTTAAAACGTGAGAGAGAGACAGAGAGAACAATGTTCATTAACACCTTATCGCGTCGAAGTAAAAGAGACGAAGCAGTAGCAACAGCAGCGCACCATAATATACGTAGCGTGCAGATAAAGCTTGAAGTGGAAGACAATATTGACGAAGGTGTTACTTTCTTCGTTCGTCGTCAGCAGCAGCAGCAGCAGCAATAAGAATGACAAGGAAGGAAACAATTTCGCTTTTTCTTTGTATCGCGTAGCTTTAGTAGCAACGCCCGCTTGTCACTGTATCTCTGGCTCTTTTTCTCCTACATCGATTCTTTCGCACGTGGTATGTTTATATAGGTAAAAGTTTACATGGAAAAATAATTGTGAGTTAGTGCGATTTCGCTTTTGTTTTGGTCTATGACAGACATGTATCAGACATCCCGACGAAATGCTTTACAACATGGGCTGAATCAAGATTTTTCACTATCTGAACTACGCACGCGTACACGGGAGCAGAAAGTTTACGAAACAAAAACCTAAATTACTCCGTACGTTTGTCGCAATTATAGATAATATTCGCAGCATCTCTCGCGAACAATTTCGCTTTGCTATTGTGCACGAGCGAGCTCGTATCTATATGTATATATAAAACACTACACAACAGCAGCAGCAGCAGCAGCCGCTAACGGCAATCGTGAATATCGTGCAAAAGAAGAAAAAAAAGGAGAGAAACGTATAATATACCAGGCAAGCATACATGTACTACGTATACAGCACGGGTAGCTTCTATTCACTTGTAATTGCATTTTTTCCTCTCTCTCTCGCTCCCCTCTGCTCCCTGCTTTCTCCTACGCGCTGCTTGCGTACTCTCTCTCTCTCTCGCTTCTCTCATTGAAGCTTTTTCCACTTAATGAGGGACAGTCTGAAGGAGCTTTCCCTCCCTCTCCATTGTTGTTCAGGTGAATTGCTGTCCTATTTATAGCACTCGGTGCGCGCGCGTGGAATAAAAGCACCGGGGGAGGAGTGAGCGAGGAGACTCTCGAGGCGAACTTTTAACGCGCATAGCTTCGCGTGTGTATATATATAATACCGAGAGCTATAGGTGAATCACGAAACGTAGCGAGAAGAGCGGTGCGCGGCTCACGTGGTGACGGTGGCGGGGGCGGCGGCGGTGGGGGCCCCCTTTCCCTAAAGGTGTACGTGTACTTATATGTATGCATACATACACGCGCTTTCACTGTGTTATAAAGAAGCAAAAAGAGAGAGAAAGAGAAACGTATGCGAACGCACAGACTCGTGCACGCCCCTGGGGAAATAGCTTGCAAGTACCTCGTCTCTCTCTTTCTCCTTCTTTCTCTCTCTCTCTTTCTTCCTCTCATGTAAAGTTCGACGGTATTGTGCTTCAGGAAAGTAGATTTCCGAGTTTTTTCGTCTTAACGTCTTTGTGAATGTGTATAGCAAGCAGTTAGAATAACTATATACATGCACGTGTACTACCGGTGTGAGCTGCGAGCAAGGACGAACACATCGCTCGCTCACTGCTCGCAAGATCTACTATAACATAGCTCACTCGCGGTTCGACGCTGAGTATAACCACCAGGGATTTGTGTGAATAGAAATAAGCTCGAGAATACCCGCGTGTTTGTAGTGCACCACTGCTACTTGCGCACACACACACAGACAGTCGCATACCACGCACGTAAGTGTGAGCGATGACAAATGTTAGA